AGAGATTTGTGGACAAACACCCTAAGATCCTTTTATCCTCTTGAGCTTCCTAGTGTCCTGCCATTCATTGAGTAGTCCTTTGTCTCGTTATCTTTTCCAAAGTGATCTGCCAGTGATCTGACATCTGACCAATTTGTTTATACCGTCCTGTAACCAAGATCTTCTTCCTCACTGTCAACCGCCTAGCCACTCTTTGTGTCATTCAAAAACTTAGCACCCCGTGCCATTTTTTCAATAGTGTTTATATCTACATCAAGAGCAATAACAGACCCAGCACTAATCCCTGCGGTACCCCACTTGACATCAGCCTTCAATCAGCCTTCTACCACCACCCTCTGTCTCCTGCCACTTAAAGCCAACTTTGGATTCAACTTGCCACGTTACCCTGGATTCCATGTGATTTTACCATCTTCATCAGTCTCCCATGTGTGACCTTGTCAAAGGCCTTGCTGACACCCATATCAACTACACTATCTTATCTATACACCTGGTCACCTCCTCAAAACATTCAATGAAATTTGTTAGGCATGAACTCCCTCTGACAAACCATGCTGACTAGCCCTGATCAAGTCTTACCTCTCCAACTGGAGATTAACTTTTTCCTTCAGGATTTTCTCCAACTGTTTCCCTATAACTGATGTGCCACTCACTGGTCTATAACTCCTTGGTTAACTACCCTTCTTGAAAAGTGGAACCACATGAGCTGTCTTTCAGACCTCTGGCACCTCCTCTGGCCACAAATTTTATCACTTGTCCAATCAAACAATGCTTTATCTTAATTTTAATATATTTAGAACAAAAAGCGGAAGACCATTTTTAAAACAATATGGTTGTTCAGTGGTTAGCACTGCTGCCTCACAGTGCCAGGGACTTGAGTTTGATTCCAGCCTCGGGATGTGCAGGCTAGTTGAGTTAGCTATGAGAAATGCAGGGTTACAAAGGGGTGTGGGTCTGGGTGGGATGCTCTTCAGAGGATTGGTGTAGACTTGATGGGCCAAATGGCCTGCTTCCTACTGTAAGGTTTCTGTGATTCTATAAGGTAGATGCATTTTGTTTTAAGTACTAATTTTCTTTTATTCCCCTGGTTTGCTCACAGCGATGACTGTTTCCTTCTGGGAGACTCCAGGACAACTCTGGAAGGTTCACAACTCTATGTCCAAACTGTAAGCTTACAACTTCATTAGAGTTAGATCAAAGTACAGCTGCATATCTTTGTGTAGTACTATCACACAGATTTCACAGTGCTAAGATGAATAAAGTGTAAAGATATGTAATATTTTACCGCGGGCACTGTACAACTTCATTCTTTGCTAAACTTTGCTAAACTATTGTGACTGACTGAGTTTAAAAAAACATTCTTTGAAGAAAGATTGATTAGGTAATTTTGCACGATCCCAAAATCCTTTCCTTTCTGGTCTTAGCAATTTCAAATCCATTGAAGAAACTTAATTGCTTCCAAGTTTTCCAATGTTATTGTTACAATATTGTTTCCATATTGTATGATGTAAAGGCATCATCGTTCCATTTCAAACCATGCCATGACACTGCTGAAAATTTGAACTGAGATTATTAAAAAATCTGGAAATTGAAAAAGGTTTCACTATCAGTGGAATTAATCACACAGGTGTCAAATTGTCATTTTAAAAAGATTTGGAAAAAATATCTGTTTTTCTTCTCAGCATGGTTGAGTTGTAAATTTCATCAGATGATGCCTATCAAGACACTCTTTGTATCAAAACTATCAGGAAAGATGTTCAGCATCATCAATAATATTAGCATTGCTACCAATGTCTAAATGTCTAATGTATTTGCTGAAAGTTTATGGGCTTTTGTTTTTACAAAGTAAATGTTAAAAGTAGAAATTATCCATTGTATCCCAGGCGTTTTGATCAAACACATAGGGTGAAACTGTTTTCACCAGCAGAAGGGTCAATAACCAGGCATGGATTGAAGGCAGTTGACAGAAAAAAACTTCATTTTCGTGCAGTGACTTGTTTGTATCTATGTGCTGCCTGAAAGTTTGGTGGAAGCAGATCCAATACAGTGCAAAGGGAATTAGATACACCATGAAAAGGATATATTTGCAGGGTTATGTGGGGAAAAAAAACAGATTTAATGTTCCTTGAATAACACACACCATTATTAATGACAAATCAACCAGCAACTTCAGGGAATAAAGAGATCCATTGTGACTTGTGGATTTCCAGAATTTGTAGGTCAATTAACCCTGCTCCATTATTAGTTTCCTTCGGAGTGATTATTAATAAAGTAAGAGCATTTGTAACAATGCTATAATTGTATTTGAAAAAGCAAGCAACATTTTCAGCCCAGAAAACTGTACAGTCTCATTAATAAATAGTTTGAAATAGCTAAAGTGTTAATTTTTATACATTATATTTTTCTTTCCCTTATTTCTCTCTCTCTCTCTCCAATCTTTCTTTCCTTTTCTATTTCACTTGCTATCTATTTCTCTTTCTGTAATACCATGTTCTGTCAGTCTCTCCTCAACCCTTAAATCTCATTGGTCTCATAGAGGTTAACAGCTTTACTTCCAACCAGATGCAAGGCAAAATATTTGAGCCGAAGGGTGCAGGAAAAATATCTAAATCTGCATATTGTGAGATGGCTGTTTCAGATCGATCTGGCTCCTCACAGGTTGGGATAGAAAATCTTTAAGGAGGCTAATAAGGATTGCAGGTTGAGTCAGTAGTTAGGAAGGCAAATGCAACTTTAGCATTTATTTTGAGATGACTTGAATATAAAAGCAGGGATGTACTTCTGAGGCTCTATAAGGCTCTGGTGAGGCCACATTTGAAGTATTGTGCACAGTTTTGGGCCCCATATCTCAGAAAAGGTATACTGGCCCTGGAACAGGTTCAGAGGAGGTTCTCGAGAATGATCCCAAGAATGAAAAGCTTAACATCTGAGAAATGTTTGAGGACTCTGGGTCTATACTCAATGGAGTTTAGAAGGATGACGGGGAATCTTACAGAAACTTACAGAATATTGAATGGTCTAGACTGAGTGGAAGTTGGGGAGATGTTTCCATTGGTAGGAGATACTAGGACCCAAGGGCACAGGCTTAGAGTAAAGGGAAGACCCTTTAGAACAGAGATAAGGAAAAACCTCTTCAGCCAGAGAGTGGTGAATCTATGAAATTCACTGCCTCAGAAGGCTGTGGTCATTGAGTACATTTAAGACAGATATAGATAGATTGTCAAGGAGATCAAGGGTTACGGGGAGAAAGTGGGAAAATCGGGTTGAGAAATTTATCAGCCATGATTGAATGGCAGAGCAGACTCAATGGGCTGAATGGCCTAATTTCATATGTCTTATGGTCTTATGGTATTATGGTCATATAACCAGTGTGTGTGGAGTTACTAATTATTACAAATTTTCCTTTGATTAAGTACAGTTATTTGGAAGACAAGATTGGTGGAATTAATCAATTAGTGGGGACAACTTAATGGTTTCTAATTCCTATTATGTACTCTGTTGATGAGTAGGTTTAGGCACGATTATATAATGAATTGTATCTTGTTAAGTATTGATACGGAACATAATGACCTGCTTTGTCTATAATGCTCCATGTGCTTTTGTTCTTGTGAAAATCAGGTTAGTTTTTCCAGGGAAGGAAAGTTAGCTATATTTCTGTTCAAGCTCTTTGTAACACTAGCACAAATGAATCAGTATATACTCTATTCTGGTTATCTCTAAATATAGTTCAGTTTCATGCTATTTATAGTTTTTTGCAATGACATTTTTTTGAATGGGCTGAACAGGATCGATGAACATTTTAGCATTTTCTACACTCCATCACTTTTCCATTTGACTTCTAGCACGGAGCAAACTCTTCTCACTCATTGTGGTTTACTGTTTTGCAGGTTATTGACTAAGGGAACGATGACTATTGGAGGAGAAGCTAAAAACACATTCTAAACTGTCTTCCTGAAGGTGCACCTGGAAAGAAGTTTTTCACTAACTCAGCAACATCCTTCCCTGAGGAATGTGTAAGTGTTGAGAGGATAGATAATAGTACTATCACTGATGACTTCAGATGCACGTAAAATAGCCAAATTACAGTCCCTGACGTCATGTCCAACATACTTGTGTAAAAATTAATACCTATTGAAACAAAACACAGAAAATACCAACAACACTTTAATGAACACAAAAATCCTAACCAATTTTGAAGATGATACAGAACCATTATTGTCATTTACTAACATATTTTTATGTCAGGACATTTTTAAGTGCAAATACAAATGTAAAATTTTGAATATTATCCTGCCTAGAAAATTATGTGGTATTACAAGATTAAAAAGGTGGATCAATTATAATGCTTTCCAATAATTATCTGAAAGGGTGAAAATAATTTTCAATTATGAATAATGCAGAAAGGCACAAAGTTATTTCATTTGATGTTAAGTAGACTAAGAATTCATGGAAATTCAAAAGGGTGTGTTGTGATAAGTACGCAATGTCTAAAGCATTAAGTCAATGATTATTGAATAGAGTGTTCTGGGATATAATATGTTTAGATTATATTTTTCATTATGATTTCTGTTCTAACGAGAGGAGCCTTCATTTGTTCATTGTAAAGTTACAAAATACCTAATTTACCTAGGTAAAAAAACGCAATTTTCAGAATTCTAAAAGAAGTGCTCGATTGTTTTGGCATTGAATGGACAGTAGAATGATATATACTCAACGATGGACATTGTACAAAATCAGCCACATCTGGAGACACCTTGATGCTATTTTATGTGCCCTAATAATCCTATTTTCCCAGTAAATATTTGAGGTGAAAGAGATGTTGCTTCTGATGTTTTTAAGTGTAAATTTCTTTCATTGATGAGGTTGATAAATGTAATAATTGGCCAAGCTGTTAACATAATGAATTGAGATTAGAGGGAGACAAACTCAATGTCACTGCTTTTTCAAAGTAACACAAAGTAAATGCAATTTGTATTACACAATGAATAAAATGCTTGGTACTATTATAGGAAAACAACATAATTTAAGATCAGAAGTTACATCTGAAAATGTTAGGATGCTACAGCTACTTCCTTTGGAAGATACATTTCATTTGACACTGCCAGCTTTTCCTCTGATGGGGTCATCTTGTGGAAGAATTTATGACCACGTGCATCAGTGCTTTCATAGACATAGCCTGGTGGAGTTGGATAGCTGGCAGGACAGATTTCTAGCCTCTTTGGTGTATATTCAGTACGATACAAGGTTCCAGCATCAAATGGTATTGAACTATGTAGAGGAGTGTCTGATGGTTTGAAGCTTTGAGTTGGTTTAATTGGATGAGGAACATAATTAGCTTTAAAGGTTGTTAATCCATCAAACTTTGCATTTGGTATTCCCATTTCTTCAACTCTTTTGATTATCTCTGGTTTTTTTACATCCCATGTTTTGAAGTCATCTTTCATTGTGGTACTCCCTTGGAAGGGAGCATGGACCCTTCTTGTTAACACAGGTTTGAATGGAGTTGGTGGCTTGACTTTATACCCAACATAATCAAGGTGGGAAGTACTATTCAAATCCATTGGACCTTCTGGTTGCACATAATCTGGATGTTTGTGGACATATGGCAAGGTGATGGGCCATGCTTGAAAACGATCACGGAATTCTGAGTTGCCATCAAAAGGTGCATCTGATCCTATCTTGCCAGGATCAGGTTTAAAGCTTTTGGTCGGATCTCCATGCAGTCCCCTGAAATCACGGCGGTGAGTGGTGGTGCTGTCAAAAGGTGTGTCACTTGGTTTGTATTCATCTGGTGGTCTAACATATCGCTCCCCCAGCGGATGAGGAACATAAGCGATTTTGTGATTTGTTAGGCCATCAAAGGGAACATCAGATACCCTAGGTGCATCAGGTGGTTTGAAACTCTCCCTTAGTGCATATCCTTTGGGACCAAAGTCATCTTGAAATGTAGATGGATTTCCAAACCGTGATGTAGGTGGGCAGTAAGGTTCCATAGGTTTAGGTTTTCTTTTGGGAATGTCCCATAGACGGTAATCATCTTTTTTGAAAAAAAAGCACTAGTATATTAGCAAATGGCTTCATAAATATATTGCAGAATTATTTTAAGCTATAGGAAATGGGATGTATTATTACTGTAACTCTGAGAAAAATTAAAATAGTACACACATCCCAATATCTTTGTTCCAGTGTTGAAGGAAACTGGAGGGGCAGAAATGGCTTCAACTGATCACAATGCTTAAGAGTAATCTACTTTACATTATCACAGGGAGTGGTCTGAATGTAAAAGATATATAAAATATGGCAAAAAGACACAGTATTTTGTACAGTGTATGTAACATAATTCGAAGGTAAAGTCAGAACGATGTTCATCTCAAAGCTGTTTTGCTTTCGTGAGTGAATTTGCCACTACTACTTTATACATAGCACTCACGGTAATGAGTTGGATGCTTTAAATGGCCAATTTCCAAAGACATGTCAAACTCAAAGATTTAAAATTTCAAAAGATTGTGAATAAGGTTTATTCAATTCTCTTTAGGAAATGCTGGAAATAATCATTATATAAATTTGTTCTTGGGATATGATTATCAAAACTGTTCTCCCAGTCCATTCTGTGTGCCTGGTTTCGTTCATGGCTGGATGACTGGATAAATCATTTCAGTGGACATTAACAGTCACTATCACATAGTGAGAGGTTGAGTTGTCAATAGGTCAAAACTGATTCAGGAGGTGAGAAATCTTTCTGGAAACCAATGGGTGGGGTGTTTGTGTCAACTTGACAGCTTTATGATAATTTTTTGATGCAAGCCCACAAGTTACCAGATCTAATGAACTTACTTTCACATAGTGGTATTTGAAGTCACCATTTCTAAGTTGCTGGCCGTAATTGTAACTATTTATTATGTTGTCATACTCATTTGTATAAGAATGTCCTATCTCTTACTGCAATTATGGGGTGCAGGCACTATGAATGCAATTAAACAAAATATTTTCAATAATTTTATAGTTCACCTTTGTACGTCGGTACAGTGTCTATTCTTCCTCCTTTCCCAGGTTTTGGTTGTGGAGGACGTATACTTTTGGCAGGCTTAATCTTGTGAGGACTGAAGTCTACCTTATAAGTTGTATGGTGATCCATCTCACCAGATTTTGGTCTGTAATCATGTTGCATTGGTTGTGGTCGCTGTGTGATTTCATGAGGTATATAATCTGTTCTGCAGAAAGGGAAAGAAGAATCAAATAGTCACTCTAAAATAGTGCCTTATTGCATTAACCTTTTAATTATTTCTTCAGCAAAAGAATCAAAATGCCTGACATTTTTGAAAGTGTAGGGGAGGTCTGCCTGTCAGGCAAAGGAAGCCATTTTTTATGGCCATGCGTGACAGAATCTAGCAACACTTGTCTCTGCTACACAGAGGATGTGGTAGGAAGTTCAGGAAAAAAAAATGAGATAAATGTTTAGTAAAAACGCAAGGGCATAACCATGACCTATTTATTATCTTATAATAAATATCAGTATAACTAATTGCGATATTTGCATGAGAGGAAGTTATCCTTGTAGAGATATAAATGCCTAAAGCTTTGTAATAACCCAAAGAAATCCTACTAAAGCATTTAAAATGAAAAAAAACAAGGTATAAAAATGATTTTATGCATGACGGCCAGCGAATATAATGCACAAATTCACATTGAAGAATATTTCCTCATTTAAAGGTAACTATTAAAATTGGATCATTTCCAGGAATGAATAACACTTGCCAATCCAAATATATTAAGTGAGGTCTTTCCAACTGGATCCCTGTTTCCTAAATTCAATGACCTCCCTCCTGTAGAAATCAGGTCATGGTTTCTGCACTTATGACTAGTTTCACACTTCCCCAGCAGTTAATCAGCGATTTAACCATCATTTTAATGAAAAGAGACTTTTCAGTCTAACAGAAAGAAAAGGAGATGTCTGAAAGAAATCCATGCTGCGGCATTGTTGTTTACAAGATATGTAAATGGTTTCTCTGGTTGTCACCAGGAGGATGCACTGACATATTTCTTTTAAATTATTTTTAAACATTCAGTCTCCTCTCTAGTGTCACCTCTCTCTCAGCTACAACAAATCTCTTATTGCAATATAAAAACCAAAGAACAGAAGTGAACTAGGCTGACACTGTCATCAACAGGTCTGGAGAGGGAGGCCAAGCTGGCAGCAGATGGAGTACAAATAAAGTGGCTCCAGCTACATCTGTAAGAGAGATAGAGGCGGAATGGAAATCAAAAGAGATAGAGAGACACTGAGAAAGAGAGAGGTCATTGGGTTGAGAAGGAGGCAGCTGAAGGCAAGAGAGGAGAAGGGTGTGACATATGAACATACGAACAAGTAGCAGGAGTAGGCCATTCAGCCCCATGATCTTGTTCTGCCATTTACTAAATTCATAGCTGATCTGACTGTAACCTCAAATCCACATTCCCACAACTCTTTACAACTTTTCACCCCCTTGCTTACTAAGAATCTGTCCACCCTTACCTTAAAAAACATTTCAAAATTCAGACAACATCACTCACTTTAACACTCAAAGATTAGTTTGTTTATTAATCTGTATGATTTATTCTTCCTTTAAAAAACAGTTCTCCTGGCTCTGGCTTTCAAGTTTACATGTAATTCTGGAACAACAAGAACCAAGCAAAAAGAATGGTTAAATTCTATCCCATTTCTTCCTCTTTTATATTGGTTAAATAAATTACTCAGTCAGTAAAGTTTAAAGTAGAGAGGTCTGGGCAGAAAATAATTTCCTAGATTATCACTCGAAGGGCAGCAGCTTAACAGTTTCCCCAGTCACCATACACATCTTGCAAACTGTCCCCGTATGGTAGGATCTCCTTTCCTGATAGGGGTGAAATTGAACCGATCACCTAAGACATAGACTGGACCTGACAACAGAGTGCCAAGGCAGGTTGGTTAAAAGGCCCACCTCAGTTTTCAGGAACCTCATCTCTATGTTCATCCTTTAGGTACTTAATTCTTCACAGCCTCTACCCAATCCCCATACCCAATCCATATCAACCAATGCTAACTCATGTCCCCACCAAACCACGATGGTCTTTGATAACCACCATGTCAGCTCATGCTGCTCCATCCACTACCAATGGCTCCTCATATCTTCCATGACAACTCAGTGCCTCAAACTCACCCCATGGCCCCTTATATCTCAAATTTAACTTAATGCTCAGTTGTGTCAACCCACCAACATCTTGCCTTTACCCACTCCATATCAACTCATTCTTTAAGGTGAAAGAAAATTCATTCTAGATATCTGTTACAGCCTTTATATGCTCCTATTCTTGAAAGTCCATTGAAAACTTATTAATTTCCCCCTAAGTATTTAATTATTTTGATTCATAAACCTCTCTCAAAAACAGCTAACCCATTCATAATTTCTGAACTATCAATCAAACGTTGACAAAAGAGCTGAAGTAGGTGCAAGTGTCATCAAGGCTGTATTTGAGCATCAAGGAGCCCTCACAAAACTGGAACCAATGGTAATCAGGGAGAACCCCGCTGCTGGTTGGAGTCATACCTGACGTATGGTTGATGGAGGTCAGTCACCTCAGCTCCAGGACAAGAGTGCTCAGGGTAGTGTCCTAGGCCCAACCATCTCCAGCTGCTTCATTAATAACCGTCACTCCATCATAAGGTCAGAAGTGGGGATGTTTGCTGATGATTGCACAATGTTCAGCACCATTTGTGACTAATCAGAAAGTAAAATAGCACATGTATAAATGCTACAAGACCTGGACAATATCCAGGTTTGGACTGACAAGTGGCATTTAACATTCAAGCATACAAGTGCCAGGCAATAATTATTTCCAAGAGAAAAATGTAACTATTTCCGTTTGACATTCTGTAGCATTGCCATTGCTGAATCCCCCACTATCAACATTCTGGTCATTACCATTAACCAGAAACTGAATTGGACAGTCATTTCAGTGCTGTGGCTACAAGAGCAAGTCAGAGGCTAGGAATCCTGTGAGTAATCCACCTTCTGACAACATCTACAAGATACAAATTAGGAGTGTGATGGAACCTCCAATTGCTTGGTTAAGTGCGGCTACATCAACACTCAACAAGCTTGACAAAATCCAGACCAAGCAGCTGTTCGATTGGCACCACATCCACAAACATTCATACCCTTCACAATCTCGCTCAGCGACTGCAGTGTGTGCTATCCACAAGATGCACTGCAGAAATTCACCAAGGCTCCTTAGACAGCACCTTCCAAACCAGTACCATCTAGAAAGACAAGGGCAGCATACACATGAGAACACTACAACATGCAAGTTCTCCTTGAAACCACTCACCATCCTGACTTGGAAATATATCACTGTTCCTTTACTGTGGCTGGGTCAAAATCTTGGAATTCCCTCCCTAACAATGTTGTGGGTCCACCTATAGCAATGGAGCAGTTCAAGAAGGCAGCTCACCATGACCTTCTCAAGGGCGAATAGGGATGAATAACAAATACTGGCACTGCCAACAATGTTCATATCCTGTGAATTAATTTGAAAAAGGACAATTTGGATACACAAATCAGATGATTCAAATGAGTAGAGAAAATATAGTCTTTCATAAAATTAGTTCAGGCAAATGGGACTAGTTTAGTTTGCAATTCCTGGTCAGCTTGGATGAGTTAGATCAAAGGGTCTGTTTCAATGCTGTATGACTCTATGACTTATTACTCTAGTTGTAGAGACACTACTGCTGTAATGCTTAAGTTATAACAAAAAAAAGCTAGGAAGGATAAAGAACCATTTTTCTCTTTGTACTTTCAGGATTTTTTGCCAGAGTGACAGGGAACATCGTATAAGTGTGGCTGGAGCATTCTGAAAAGCTTAAGGGGTTGGGGACTCACACATACGCACTGCGACATTATAAGACACATTACTAACTATATAACCTCCAAATGTGAAGGGCTGTCTTGCAGCTAGATTATAATATTTATTCCTGTTCGTTTATGTAGGCAAGCTCTAAGAATAAATTACTGAAATCATGGTGCCAATTGCCGAGTTAACTGGATCACAAATGGATTTGACTACATACAACCAAGAACATGACTTACTCTTGTCATTGGTACTGCTTTTAGAAACAAAAACAGAAATATTAACGTTAACTCTTCCTTGTCTCCACAGATGCTGCCAGGCTTGCTGGGTTTTTCCAGCAATTTCTGTTTTTGTTTCTGATTTCCAGCATCTGCAGTTCTTGAATTTTTTTTTGTTTACTGCTTTTAGATGCTTCTCAACATTATAATACATAAAACAAATATCATCATAAAGGGAAAGCCTTGGGGTTAATAATCTTTAACCAAATATTCTAATCAAAATAATTATATTTAGTTAAATTGCATTTAAACTACATCCAGATATTTTCTTTCTGAATGGATATGATAACAGTAGATGAATGAATTGATATCTGAATTGATTTGGTGTTGAGGACAATTGATGAGAATGATTTGGGAGGATACAAAGTGTGCTCCTGTGCTGTTTAGTACATCAGGCTGATGTGGCAGCTGGAGCAAATTACTGCAGATGCTGGAATCTACTGAAAACAAAAAATCCTGTATTTCACAATGGGTCAGCATCCATGGAGAGCAAGCTAACGTTTCATCAGAGCACCTCAGGCTGATGTGGCACTTGGTTGAGCACTCCCTGTATAAAAAAAACAACAGCTGTTTAGTTCTGAGACAACAAGGTGCAGGGCTGGATGAACACAGCAGGCCAAGCAGCATCATAGGAGCAGAGAGGCTGACGTTTCGGGCCTAGACCCTTCATCAGAAAAGGGGGAGGGGAAGGGGGTTTTGAAATAAATAGGGAGAGAGTGGGAGGCGGATAGAAGCTGTTTAGTTCTAGTTATCTGAAACTGCATCTCAGTGTGGACATCTTCTGAAAGGATTTTATGAATTAGCAGGTTTGTAATGTGAAATATGCGTAAGTGAGAGCTTTATCTGATTGGTAGAAGTTGTTTTCATTATTTCTATTTCAAATCCATAGCTTTTAGAGATCTGATCTTTAGAGATACTAGAAGAGAAGTTATGCACTATACATAGAGGACTCATCGGGAATATAATGGCATGCAGCGGCCAATCTAGCTCTGTTTTAAGCTGTGGATAAGTTCACTGCTCCTTCATCTGGTTTATTTCCAGCAGATGTTTGACGACAAAATTGTGAAGCT